TGGGTATTGAAAAAGAAACGAGATGAAAATGGCAACGTATCAAAATACAAAGCGCGGTGGGTGTGCTTTGGAAATCACCAAATCGAAGGAGTCGATTATCACAACACCTATTCAGCTGTCGGCAAGTCCGATACCTTTCGTCTTCTCTTAGCAATTGCCGCTTATCTTAAAGTCCCAGTTTTTCAATTCGACATTATGACAGCCTTTTTGCACGGTATCATCAAAGAACAAGTGTACATACAACAGGTAAAGGGTTTTGTGCAACCTGGTGATGAGACATTGGTGTGGGAATTGATCAAGTCTTTGTATGGGACAAAACAGGGTGCTCGAGATTTTTCTGATGATTTCCGTGAGAAGCTTAAAACTTTTGGTTTCAAGACATCGGCTGCCGACAATTGTCTTTTCATTTTTTGACGAGGAACTGAATTCTTATTTCTACATATGCATGTGGATGACGGTTTCCTGGTGGCTTCTTCCAAGACTGTAGCTAAAGAATTTTGACTCCATTTACTCAAGAGTTATGAACTCAAATGGAAAGCCAATCCCAGTCTTCACCTCGGAATGCGACTCACATATCTCAACAATGGTAGTATTTTTTTAGATCAATCACATTATTTGCAAGATATGTTGGAAAAGTTTGGTATGGAGGATTTAAATGCTGTGAAACTGCCCTTTCCTGTTGGTCTCAAGTTGAAGAACGGTTCGCCCGAGGATGTGTCTGCTGCTGCTTATCTCCCTTATCAATCTCTCATCGGAACTCTTAATTGGGCTGCTGTGAGTACAAGACCCGATATTGCGTACGCTGTTAGTCAACTCTCTCGTTACAATTCATGTTACACATTTGAACACTGGAACGCGGCGAAACACTTGGTGCGATATCTCAAAGGTTCTGTGGGGCGGGGTATTCTATTTAGTGGAAGTTTTCCGGCTGATCTTAAGGGTTATGCCGATGCTGATTACGCAAACGACTTAACCGACAGACGTTCAGTAACTGGTTTTTTGTTTACTTTTGGAAATGCTGCAATCTCGTGGCGCAGTCGGCGACAAAAATCTACGGCTTTATCAACCACTGAAGCAGAATACATGTCTATTTCTGATTGTGCAAGGCAGGCTCTCTGGTTTAAGTTGCTTTTTCAAGATCTTGATTTTCCTGTCTCTGCTGTTTCAGTTTCATCTGTTGGGAATGCTATTCAATTGTTCAATGACAATCGCGGAACTGTATTTTTAACTAAGGAACCAGTCATTAACAAACGATCTAAACACATCAATGTGCGCTATCATTTTATCAGAGATCACGTCAAGTTAAAGAACATCATCGCTGCTCATGTTCCGACTACTGAAATGCCAGCGGATTTTTTGACCAAGCCGCTTCCGATCGATGCATTTGAACGTTGTTGTAGTCAAGTTTCTTTTGGAGTATGCGAGAGTTAGGGGGGAATGTTGGCGAGTATTGAAATCATGATGTGATGTTTATTGGTTATTTGATTTTGTTATTTCAAATTTATTATTTGATATGTTGTTATGGATGATTTCTAGTGTGATGTACACGCAAGTTTCTTAACTCTCTCATTACTATTGTTGTTTCTTCTTTCTCTTATAAAAACCTACCTATGAGTTCACTAGAGTTTGTTCTTCATCTTGTCAAACTCTTTTTCTCTTACACTTACCAAGCACCTTCTTACTTACGACGTATCTGCTTGTCGTGTATTGACTCATAGGTATGTTTTCTTCAGATAGTGTTCTATGTTTTCTTTATCTTTTTCTTTCTACATCAATTTGTTAGTTTGTGATGTTTGCAAAATACATTTGATCTTGTCAAACTCTTTTTCTCTTACACTTACCAAGCACCTTCTTACTTACGACGTATCTGCTTGTTGTGTATTGACTCATATACTCTACACTGATTATCAAGTAGGGAAGGGAAAGGGTGGTCTTCAAGTGGTACAACCAAGGAAAGACTACAGCTAGTTGACCTCTAAGAAGCGGATTTGAGAAAGAGAAGAGAAGACTAAGGGCAACTCAGAGCTGGTGCGCTCTAACCTTGAGACTGTGAGGGGCAGGCTTGACACTTTTGTAAAACAAAGATCCTGCAGGGTAATTTTGACTCCTTAAAAAGGAGGAAGCTTTGCTACTTTAAGGTTTATTTCTAGAGACAATGAATGCCCTGGGCTTGTAGAAATCATTACCTTGGGTGTTCACCAATGGAGCCTGTAATTCTCAAAAATAGTCTTTAACAAACTACACAACTAGCCATGCACTTGAAGATCCTCTCAATAGGAATCAAGTAAAATGTGGTTCTGTGTTGTGATGGTAGTAAAAGATGGGGGATGATTCTAGGGAAGAAGGGGGGGTTTATATAGTCTCAGTTCCAGCGTCAATTTTTGGTTGACACTTGGGCTAGGTTTATTATGTATTAATACATTACATACATGCATTTAAGTGTCTCTTGACACTGAGCCTTGAGATGTAGCTTATGGCTTTGTACAATATTTTAATACTACATATGGTACTGTTAGTCCATGGTCCTGTAATTAGGGCTCAGGGCTGACAAGAATCATAGAGCCCAAAGATGATTGGTTAATGGCAGAAGGGCTTTCAGATTATGTAGTGTATTTTACCAGGAAATCAGATAGGGCTCCAGTTTTTAAGATGGACTTGCAATGCTAGATAAGAAGTGGAGATGGGTTTCCTATATTGAGAATATGTGGATATGCACTCTCATGGCTTGAGATAATGGAAATCTTTGGCTACAAGAATTAAACATCACATGGACTAGCAGATGACATCACCACCAAAGAAGCCCCAAATAGTTTGTCACTGTGGCTCCCCTGAGAATCTCTCCTACCTTTGATATCGTTGAGTTTTGGTGAATGATGAATGCTTATGATCCACCTTGCGACTATTTTTTCAATGGATAGGTGACAAGGATTTGGACTACAGAAACAGATTAAATACTGGTAAGTGAAAGAAAATGTTGCAATCTGGTGAAGACACCTTTTACAGATTATCACTCACAAAAAAAGCATTGAGGTAGTGGGAGGATCTAATTTGTATACATCTTGAGAGGTTCAACATGATACAGAGCAATATGATAAGTTTGTTTCAGAAATATATGACAAAATACACTAAGGGCCCGTTTGGCTGGATTTCAAAAAAAGAAAAACTCAAAATTCAGCTTTTTCGTTTACCAAACAGTTGACCAAATCGGTCAATGAAAAATCAAAATGGAGGGGCAAATGAGCCCCAAAACTCTTTTTGGTCTCAAAAACAGCCTCAGGGCTGTTTTTCAAAATTGAAGATTTTTTGATCAAAAACCGTTTTTGGTTTTGATCAAAGACCATTGCCAAACGCTGCTCTTTTTGTTAAAAACCAAAAACCGTATTTGGCCAAATACGGTTTTTGGCTTTGGTGGAGTATTTGGCCAAAAACCATATTTGGTTTCCAGCTGAACAGGCCCTCAATACATACATAGCTTCTGCTGTAAAATTTGCTCAAAAATTTGTGAAGAGTCTCAAACACCTACAATCTTGGATGAAATTGAC